GAAGGATGGGCCCCCGACACCTTTCGAAAGGAAAAACCACGCAGGCGCCCAGATGCATTCGGATTTCACACGCGATGCCATTCAGGACCTCCTCCGAACAGGAGCAGCGGCAAAAGCTCCTGACCGATCAACACTACTATGCATTAGCCCACTCAACGTGGTCGAACAACGAGAAAAATGTCGGCTCATCCTCGACCTGCGGAAGGTCAACGAGCACTTGTGCATTCCTAAATTCAAGTACGAAGGCCTCGTCCGGGTAGCGGAGTTGATCCAACCGAACGATTGGATGCTATCGGTTGATCTCAAGTCAGGGTATCATCACGTGGACATCCATCCCACCTGCTGGAAGTACTTAGGATTCCAGTTCGAAGGCAACTACTACTTCTTCCAATCCCTGCCATTCGGTCTGGCCACAGCCCCTTTCATCTTCACGCAACTCATCAAACAGCTGGCCCGACGATGGCGATCTCTCGGGTGGCGGGTTATCCCGTATGTGGATGATATACTGATCCTGGCAGAGACCGCACAACAAGCGGGAGCCGCAAGCGCACAGGTCGTCAGGGACCTGAGGGACGCCGGCATAGTAATCAACGAGAAAAAGTCGCGTCTGGTCCCCACACAGGAGCTTCGCTTCCTCGGACTCGAGTTGAACACACAAGTCGGCAAATTCTCGGTCGGAGAAGAACGGCGCTCCCTGTTACGAGCGACAATCACAAGTCTCATCGATTCCGGACGCGCTGGTCACCACGTGAACGTTCGTCAAATCGCTCGAGTGACCGGAATGCTTGCTTCCATGAGCCTCGCTTTGGGCGCAACTGTGAAAATCAACAGGAATAGTTGTAGAAAGTTAGAAATGAGAAAGAGGGGTTTCACTAGCAAGCAGTTGAGTACATATAGGAAACCCTAGATTGGGCTGTACTCACTATTGAGTACCCCACTGCAGGCTAGACAAATATAACATATTCTGACACACCCCCATAGCCAAAGTGGGGTGTAATCAGCACAAGCAGCCAAAGCAAAACAAGCTCAGGGTGGATCACAATGTCACCACACATTCTGAGCACAAGTACAAAAAGTAGTGGTTTATAGTTCACAAATATAAGCAAAGCTAGAGGCAGTCACAGACGGTAAGTGAGGAGGAGGAGGGACTGTGAGAGGAGAGGAGAGAGGAGACGACGGGTGAAGTCGCAGACACACGGGCAACAGGAGCAGCGCGCACTGTGGCTACCGGAGATTGTAGCCTCCGGACTACTGGCGCTGCTGGCGGCACAACGGCTGCCTCCGCCCAACCTCCCTCTAGCTGTCTCACCCCCCTTTCACACACCCCCAGCTGCACCCCTAGGTTCACTCACACTCCACCCCCTAGCACCACTCCGTCGGCTCCCACACACCCACCCCCCTCAGCGGCAGCTGCAGCAGTGGGAGACGGAGTAGGAGGAGGAGCAGGGGATGCCACACACCCGCCACCCCCCACTCGCCACCCCCAAACCCTAACACAGGGCAGGGCTGGGCAGGGCAGGGCCGGGACAGGGCCGGGGCAGGACGGCAGGGCCGGGTAGGGCCGGGTAGGGCCGCGACGAAGACGGGAGGGGCCGACGCGCGGCCCCCTTCTGTCGCCCCTCCCGTCGCCTGTCGAGGCGACCCGGGGGGGGGGGGCGGCCGCGCGGGCCCCCGAGGGCGCCATTGCGGGCGTCAGGGGAGGGGGGGCGCGCGCGGCCCCCCGAAGGCGCCTAGACGGGCGACGGGACGGGCCGCGCACGAGCCCCCCCGGGCGACGAAACCGCCGTGCGCCCCGGGGCGCGCGACGGGTAGAGAACCGTCGCGCGCCACAGGGCGCACGACGGGCAGAGCAGGGCGTCGCGCTGCCCCGAGGGCGACGCGACGAGCAGATAACCGCCGCGCGCCCTGAGCGCGCGGCGGGAAGAAAAATTGCCGCGCGCCACGGGCGCGCGGCAAGCAGAAAGGCAGCGCGCGCCCGAGGCGCGCGATAGGCAGTGATGACAGCGGAAGCTTAGGTGGGCCCATCCACAGGATCGACCCGTGAGGGTCGACCTGCTCTGATTCCATGTTGGAAACAACAGGAATAGTTGTAGAAAGTTAGAAATGAGAAAGAGGGGTTTCACTAGCAAGCAGTTGAGTACATATAGGAAACCCTAGATTGGGCTGTACTCACTATTGAGTACCCCACTGCAGGCTAGACAAATATAACATATTCTGACAGCAACCGCGCGAGCCTTCAGCCACGAGCTATTGCAACTTATCAACAACGCGCCCTCATGGCACTCGAATGTGTCGTTGTCAACTGAGGCCATCCACGAACTGCACTTCTGGGTGGAACAGTTCGACCGTTTCAATGGTGCACCATTCCATCATCCGCATCACTACGACGCCATCATCCAGGTGGATGCCAGCGCGCACAGCTGGGGTGCCACCCTCTCTACTTTTCACGGAACACCGAGCAACGCAAGCGCTGGCATGCCCGACAACCTGTGGCCAACCTCAAGTACGCGACGCGAGTTGGAAGGCGTGCTCTGGGCGCTACGCACCTTCATGGACCGTCTTCGACACGGCCACACGTTGGTTCGCGTGGACAACCAAGGGGTCATGTTCATCCTACGAAAAGGCGGCTCGCGCAATAATGATCTCACGCTCACTTGCAAAGAGGTCATCACTCTATGCACGGACAACGCGGTGCGACTAGCCATCGAATGGATTCCTAGAGATCAGAACTCTTGCGTGGACGAGCTCTCAAAGCTGCAAGACCACGATGACTACACGTTGAAACAACCTTGGTTTCGTCTCTTGGACCGTCGGTGGGGGGCTCGCTCCGTCGACCTGTTCGCAAATGCACAGAACGCATTGCTGCCTCGTTTCTTCTCTAAAGTCCCTCACCCGCGAGCCGAGGCCATCAACGCATTCTCCAAGGATTGGCACGGGGAACGGGGCTTCGCATTTCCGCCCCCCCACCTCGTCCCTGCAACTCTCCATCACGCGCGTCGCACACGGGCAAAGCTAACCCTGGTGATCCCTGAGTGGTCAGGGGCAGCCTGGTGGCCCCTAGTGCAACCGGCCCCTCAAACATGGGCCATAGGAATTACTAGCCACCTTCGCCTCGCAAGCGGGAGTCAGTGCCTCCAACCAGGCACACACACTGCCGCATTCTCAGGCACTGGATTTCCCAATAGCCCGATTATTGCATTGTCCATTGACTTTACAATGTAACTCATATATATTCCATGTATGGCAGATATATTATCCAACCTTCAAAAGCAACTCCTCTCGGTAATCAGCCAAGTACGAGCTCCTTCAACAATCCGCACCTACGACCCCTACTGGGGAAAATCCCGATCATTCTGTAACAAGCTATCACTGAGCTACCTACCTGCCACAGACTTGACACTCGCGCTGTACCTGGTATACGCCCTCAACAAGCACGCCACCCTGTCCGCCATCACGCTGACCTGTTCGGCAGTCGCATTCGCACACAAGATGACTGGCCTTACTTGTCCCACGAACGGCCCCTTCACTTCCCAGGTCCGAGAATTCGCCAAGCGCCGCTCCCCGCGCCCAAACAGGACTAAAGAACCCGTGTCTCTTCACCAGGTTCACCAGATGACACACGAGTTCATCGCATCCGACATTCCCTCCGTATTCTAGAAAGGCCTCATCCCACTGCTCATGTACACGGGCTTTCTCCGCTTCTCGGACCTCGTCGCAATTCAGTGGCAAGACATCCAGTTCGAGGAGGCGGCGATGTGGCTATTGATTCCCCACTCCAAAACAGACCAAGAAGGCAAGGGAATATGGGTCCCAATCGCGACTACACCCGGACCATATTGCCCAGTAAATATCACCAGACAGTTCATCTCGCTTGCCGGCTATGACGCCTCGACCAAAGGACCACTGATACGGGTGTTCACACGTGACTCCAAAGCAACTCCGCACGACCACGCGCCTTCGTACCCAACGGTTCGCAATTGGTGCTTGGAAGCATTCAAAAAGGTTGGCCTCAACGCCAACCACCTTGGCACGCACTCCTTCCGCAAAGGAGCAGCAACGACGGCGGCAGGCATCGGAGTCTTAGATAGGATGTTCAAGCGGTTGGGCCGTTGGCGCAGCGACAACGCAAAAGACCTCTACGTCACCATCGCACACGACCAGCTTGTGGCTGCCTCCCAGCTGATTCAGGATCCTATACGGGCTCCCTCCCCGAACCAGCACCAATTGTCTATCCAGCGGCATCGCCGACCGACCACTCGCTTGTCTCAGAAGGCCCATATGAAATGAAGCACGATGCCTTCACAAGTTGCAGAAAGCAAGCTTTCACAATATGGAATTCAATGAGAAGGCATTCCTGTATGCTGCAGGAGCCGACTCTACCGATTACGAAGTCGGGGAGTCAGAAGAGTCGAAGCGACACCAGCAACCGTCTGACCAGGACCGATGCAGGCAGAAGCATTTTAAGTGAAAAGAGCAAGAACAGTATTGAAACGGTTTGAACTCGATGTAATAAGGGAATGTACCCCTGAGAGTACATGGCTAGTCTAGGTCGTTTCGCATTCCTTTGTATTTCTTAAATAAACTCGATGTATGCATGCTATTATTATCTCAGTCATTTACATTCACTCTGACCTGAGGTCAATACTTCCGCTGTAACACTACTCTGCGATCAACCCTGAGACGATCCTTCCTTCGCTAAGTCCCATTTCACATTGTAACAAACACAGGATGCTGAGTGCAGTTGCCAACAGAATGCTACCAAGTGTACACTACAACTCACACACAAACTATACACCACACAAGTCTACCGTATACGAATAAATGTTCACCATCTACACTCAAGGTCCAGAAGCAAAACAGGAAACCCGTAAAAGGAAATAAATCAATCAAAGCCTTCAGTCACGAGTCACGACGACTCGGGACGGGACCGTACCAGTGGAAATAAGTGGCGCACCTATGTTGCACATGTATGTATGTGTTCACAAAGCTTGGCATGGCACCTATGTTTCAGCACGAACCGAGTACATGGGAGCGATCAGCACAGGGTCCTCCCAGTGTTGCTGCTGAGCCTTGCCCGTCTCAGCTAAGGCATGAAGAGGCGGCTGCTGCTGCTGCTGTTGCTCGTAAGCCTCAACCCCACCTGCACTGATAGCTGAGTAATCAACAGCACCACTAATTGCAGAATCACCACCACCACCACTAGCATCGCCACCTAAAGTCTCACGACCATCAGAAAGAGGAGACTCCGAAAAGGTAGAGGAAGCAACACTCCGGAAGCGCCCATCCACTGACTGCCCTGCTGGTGCATCAGCTGCCCCTTCACCTGTCCCTTCACCTGCCCCTTGCCTTACACAACCCACCTGCCCCTCCTGTTCCACCTGTTTCTCCTGCTCTGCGTGTCCTACTTGCTCACTGCACATCTGAACATTGTCACCCCGCTCTCCTCCCTCCACACCATCCCCCTCCCCTCCCCTCTCGTCCACAACGCTCCCCTCACTGCCCGTTTTCCCCAGCGGTTCCGTCTCACTCCCCTCCTCCCCATCACCGTCCGCGTGAGTAGCCACTAGCACCCGCGCACCCCCTCCCCCTCCCGCACCTCCCCTCCGCCTGCGCCCCAGCTTGCCTGCGAGGTCCCCCAGCAGCAGCGCCTTCTCCTGCTGCTCCGCCTGCGCCACCATGGCGCGGTGCTGGGCGAAGCTCGGCAGAATGGATACCATCACCTTGGGAGCTCCGCCTCCCATGCCCATCGCGCTTCCCGCCGCGCCTGCTGTTCCGCCTACCCCGCCTGCCTGGCCTGCCCCGCCTGCTGCGCCTGGCACTCCTCCCGCTACTGCCGCTGCTGCTGATGCCCAGTCTTGTGGCGAGCCCCACCGGCTTCCGCCGCAGCTGCTCCCTCTGCTCCCCCCTCCCCCTGCTCCCCCTGCTCCGCCTGCGCCTCTGCTCCCTCTGCCCGGCCCCTCCAAACCCTCCCCAGCGTCCGCCCCGCTAACAGCCCCACTGCAACAGTCACACCCGCTGCAGCTCCCACGGCGACCACCGCCGCCGCCACTGCCACCGGCCCTACCAGCGCCAGAAGCGCCACCACGAGCACCACGGCACACGGCGCACTGCGGAGCAACCACCAACCCTCCCCCATTGCCCACTGTCTCCCCGCCATTCTCCACATTCCCCGCATTCATCCCGCCCTGGTACCTGCTGCTGCTGCTGCTGCTGCTGCTGTGCACGGGCGTGGGCTCGCGAGAGGCGCCCCATCCCCCACCCCCCATCATCTCCCCGTCCCCCTCAAGCGCGCCCACGCGGTCCTTGAAACTACCGCCATAGCTTCTCCGCACGTCCCGCTGTTGCTGCTGCTGCTGGCTCTGCTGGCTCGCGCTGGGATTGCATCCTAGCGTGAGGGATCGAGTGAAGGCCCTTTCTCTGACCACTACCACGCCGCCAGGTGGCGGCACGTCAGGGCTCGCGGCTCGAGGCCCCGTCCATTGCCGAACCGCCCTACGCTCCCCGGACGCGGCGGTAGCGCCGGCCACGGCGGCAGGACCAGAGGGCACAGCAGAAGCGCTGCCGGCGGGGGGACTTATCCCCGAAGCAGAACCATTGCCGAAGCCCGCGGAAGCGTTCGCGGAGGAAGGCGAGAGGCCCGCGGAACGCGCATGGTAGGGGGAAGCGGAGGGGGAAGAGGCGGAATTGTTGCGCCTGTTGGCGACGGCGGTGGGGGAGATCAGCGCGAGCTCCATAGTGCGCCGCCGCGAGCTGTACGTCCTTAGCGGGGACGCGCATAGCGGCGGCAAAGCCGCCGTGAAATGCGCGTACTGCGCGTCCGACGGGCTGGTGACCGTTGCCGCGGATCTAGGACCACCGCCGCCGGCGGCGGCGGCGTCGCCGTTACAGTCAGATTCCGCGTCGCGGCCGGAGAGCGCTTTCAGGCTCCTGCTGTTGGTGATCCTTCTAAAGCGGACGCGCGTTTTCCTTTCGCCGCCTAGCGACTCGTTATCGCCGTCTATACTGAACTCGCCGTCGTCTACGCTCTGCACGTCCGACTCGCACACGCTCTCGCCATAGCTGCCGCTTCGCGGATAGTCCGTCAACTCGTCTCCATCGTCTGTCTTCTCTTTCCAGCTCAAGCTCCGCCGCCCCCGCTGCTGCTGATTCCGCTGCTCCCGCTCCTCCCGCTCATCCTGCTCCACCTGCTCCCCCTGCTGCTGCTGCTGCTGCTGCGGCTGTTCCCCCTGCTGCTGCTGCTGCTGCTTCTCTGCGGTCCTGAAATACGGCGGAAGCCACCTACCCGAGCCGCTTCCTCCTCCCCCGCCTCTCCCGACACTTTCACCTCCATCTTCCGACCGCAGATCCTCGAACGAGTCGAAAATATCTTCCTCCAGAATCCCGACGCTTGCGGCGTACGCCTCGCCCGCGAAGGAATCCAGCGAGTCGCGCATGTCGCTGCGGGACCGCAGCCGCGAGTAGTCCAACGTCTGGCTTCGCTCCAACACGTCGCCTCCTCCTGCGACGCCGTCGCCCGAGACGCCGTTGAGTCGCCTCTCCGCCGCGCGACAGCGAAGCAGCGCTCGGCGCTGCGACGCTCCGACGTGGAGGACACGTCGGCTGCTCCGGCCCTGCCTGCGCGGCGTCGACGCGGCAGACGAATCACCGGAGCCAGCTTGCTCCCGCGCCGGTGACTCCACACCAGTGCTCCCCACCGCCGCTGTCGCCGGCGCAAATGCCCACGCGGAAGAGGAGGGGTTCGCGTGCGCACTTTCCCCCGCGTGCGCACTTTCCCCCGCGTGGCAACTACGCGAGTTTTCATCAGGTTCACAAGATACATTTAACGCCAGACCCGGCTTCGCATCCTCGTTCCTAACAGTTTCGACATCACGCAGCAGGTGCTGCTGCTGCTGCTGCTGGGGTTCCTTTTCCTCGGCTTCAGCGATACCGTTTGAAACCGCCGGAACAGTTGTCGCGTCAGCCGCGTTTTGTCCTGCCGGAACAGTCGGCGGAACTGCCGATGAGTGGACCTCCGCTAGTTGCGCGTGGCTTCCGCCGATGCTACCACCAGATCCCAACTCCCGCGCGCTGGAACTTCCAACTAAGTCGTCGCGGCTCTGCACACTTGCGCTGCTGTTGCTACCTCGGGCACTCGTGCTGCGTCTAAGCATGTCCGCAAACGGGTTGTCCACGTCCTCGTCGTCTTCTCCGCCGCCCGACGGCCCGTTTGGCGTTTTCTGCGAGGTTTTCGCTGCGTGCGCGATCATACGTAGCTTGCGAGCGCGAGATTTCGTCACGCGGCTCGCCACCAACGCCGCCGCATGCGCTGAGCCTGGCGACCCTGTTGGTTCCGCAGACCCGCTCCCTTCAGCCGCAGCCGGTGCCGCTGCCGCGCCGGCTTCCATCGGTGAAGCGACTGAGATATGCGACGATGGTGGTCTAGGACATACGAGGAAAGGAGGAGATGGCACTACTACATTGCTGGGGAACGCTGAAGATGCGCCATCGATGGCCGCTCTTCCCATACCGTGAATGGTGCGGGCTACACCTAGGGAGCTGTCTGCAATTTACTGACAGAAAACGACGGCGACTGACAAATCTGAAAAAAAAAAAAAAAGACTTGCTGACAGACTTGGATTGGCAACGACGGAGGCGAGCTAAGCGGCAGGGAGGGCCTGACTGAGCTATCAACAAAACACGCGGTGTGGTAGTTGCGGGAACAGAGCAACGCAGGTGCAACCGTTGCGTAGTGGGCCTACTCACGCTATGGCCGATGTGGGTGGGCATGAGCTGCTTTCTGGCCTGGCTCGACCAAACGTTAGGCGTTATTTCATGAGCAGAAAGCGAAAAGGGAGGCGGTGGGAGAGAAGAGCAATGAGGGAATGCGACAACAGGTTTCGTGAGGGGGTGTGGGAGCATGCTTGGGTGAAGCTGGACGGGAAGGTAGGCATTTACTTTCACGTTTACCCAGAACTGTCCAGAACTGAAAGGAACTGTACATGAGAGTGGAAGTTCGACAACGGACCGCCTTATTTACTGAATAGATCCCACTTGTTCTGTTTATGGCAGAGTTTCTTCTGCTTAACCAGAAACAAGTCCCTCGCCTCGAGCTTCGTCACGATTTCGGGGCATTTTTCGCATGTTTCTTTGATGAGGCGGGCTCTTTCAAGTCGTCACTGAAAATGGGGTAACCCTTGCTTCATCCATGTAGAGTACAGTGCACTCTGGTCCCGACTGCCTATTCGGAGAAATGTGTGCGGCTTTGTTTTCTCCCTGGATTTCGTTTCTTGATGCCCAACATTTTCCCATGAGGCTCATTCATTTCGCCGAATATCTCAGCGGACAAGCGAGTCCGCCCGGGGGAGCTCGCTGCCCGCGGGCAAAAAAAATCCATTCGGGCACGCATCCGGTCAGGGAGGCATCAACCCTAAACACAGGGAGGCATGCATTTAGGGTTGATGCCTCCCTCGGATGACATGCCATCCGATAGGGGTTTAGTTTTTTTCTGCCCGGGGCAGCATGTCGTCAAGTCGTCAACAGGTCGTCAGGCTTGACGACCCGTTTCCGCTGGGATATTCCGTACGTTCGAACACGGGCAACGGCCCATCGTGTAAACGCATTTTCTTTCATTGCAGCCATCAATCACTCAACTTATCATGCTGCCATCCATCTGTTCTTAAGACATTTTGAAAGTGTTACCACTCGAGGCACATATTTACGTAAAGTCCCATGTTTTTCCGTGGCAAAGGATGGCGAGTAAAGCGAAATACTTCACTTCACTCAATTTGTAAGGTAAGGCAGGGTGACTGTAACGTGCTTCAAGTGTATTTATTAATGAAACCACAACAAGGGGAAAATATGCGATAAGTAACCAACTTGGGACTCGGTAACGTGAATGGTAAAAAAAAAAAACGCGTACGGTCACTGTATCGGGTTTTCTGATGGGTTTGGTAAGTGGGGTCACGGATTCAGTCACTAGCAACAGGTTAAAAATCACGCGAATGGTCACACATGTAACTCCCACCCAAAAAGATTGAAACTCGGCAAAATTCCCGCTCGTGCCCAACCAATCTGCTAACTTCTAAAAAAAATAAAACCCAATCGGAATCGGATGCGGTTTGGGAACGGATCAACCCTAAACACCTGGCGAGTTACGTGTTTAGGGTTGATTCATCCGAAAATGCATCCAGGCTCTTTTGGGGTTTCATTTTGTTTTGGCGGGAGTTTCATCTATTACCATACGTGTTTTTTTTACAACTTGATAGTGACTGATTACGTGAAAAGATTTATCAATCACGTGAAAATACCTTTTGCAGTGACCTTACCCTTTATTTTTTTTACCAAATATGTTATCCAGTCCCATTATGGTTACAAATGGCATATTTTCCCCCACAACAAGAAGCGGAATCTACACCCCAACATCGCCTGATACGGAGGTGAACATGAACGCTGTTCTGTCATGAGTTTTGACTGGGGTGATACACTCAGTACCATACCCAACCATGCAAACTAGTATTTTACCTCTTTGGAATACAGCTTCACCGATTTCTGAACTAGCTGTTGGGGTGGGATGAGATGGGACACGCTTTTCTAGCGTAGAAACTGGATGGCTGGTGCACACAAACCACCTATCATCAAGCAACCCCCCCAAACTTGCAAAGCTGCTGGAAGATAAGTTGACTGTCGGTAAAATCTGCTGCGATCAGAAGTTGATCGTCCCTAGGATCACCTCAGGAAGGTTCGCACACGACTGAGTAGTGGTGGTGGGCCCTTGACCCCAGTAGCAGAGTGGATGTAAAATGCTTGAGATGATTGAAACATGCAAGAACAAAGGTATAAATAAGAGTACATGAAGGAATACGAATCTACCTAGGTAGCCATGTACTCTAAGCTAAGGGGTACATGTCAAACATATATTCTTAGTTATATCTAGGCTTAGTTTATGTGTTTATAGTTGTCTAGGCTATAGTGGGTTTAGCCTTAGGGGGTACAAATTTCTCTCGACATTCTACTTGTACCCCTTCCCTTTTCCTAGTCCATCACTCTCGCCTACTATTCTCACATGGTATTAAGAGCAATTAGTCCTAGGACCTAATGTTAATGGGCCCACCACCTACTGCCCTGCTCGCCTAGGCCCCAGCCCGTCGCCCCTTGGCATCGCCCCTAGCCCCTAGGCTCGGCCCCTTGGCCCCGTCGCCTCGGCCCCGCTGGCCCAGTCGACTTCGTCGCCCGCGCCCGGCCCGTACCTAGCCCGTCGCCCGGCCCGTACCTAGCCCGTCGCCTGGCCCGTACCTAGCCCGCGCCCGGCCCCGTCTCCTGCCCGCGCCCGGCCCGTACCTAGCCCGACGCCCGGCCCGTACCTAGCCCGTCGCCCGGCCCGTACCTAGCCCGTCGCCCGGCCCGTACCTAGCCCGTCGCCTCGGCCCCGCTGGCCCCGTCGACTTCGTCGCCCGCGCCCGGCCCGTACCTAGCCCGTCGCCCGGCCCGTACCTAGCCCGTCGCCCGGCCCGTACCTAGCCCGCGCCCGGCCCCGTCTCCTGCCTGCGCCCGGCCCGTACCTAGCCCGTCGCCCGGCCCGTACCTAGCCCGTCACCTCGGCCCCGCTGGCCCCGTCGACTTCGTCGCCCGCGCCCGGCCCGTACCTAGCCCGTCGCCCGGCCCGTACCTAGCCCGTCGCCCGGCCCGTACCTAGCCCACGCCTGGCTCCGTCCTTCGCCCAGCGCCCGGCCTCGTCTCTTGCCTGCGCCCAGCCCCGTACCTAGCCCAGCGCCCGGCCCCGTACTTGCCCAGCGCCCGGCCCCGTACCTGCCCAGCGCCCGGCCCCGTACCTGCCCAGCGCCAGGCCCTGTACCTGCCCAGCGCCCGGCCCTGTACCTGTTTGGCCCCTCGGCCCCCTAGGCCCCTCGGCCCCTTGTTTGGCCCCTCAGTCCCCTAGGCCCCTCGGCCCCCCCTAGGCCCCTCGGCCCCTTGTTTGGCCCCGCGGCCCCTAGGCCCCTCGGCCCCACCTCAAAGACTGGCGCCCGGCCCCCCAGCCCCTTGTTTGGCCCCTCGGCCCCCTAGGCCCCTCGGCCCCTTGTTTGGCCCCTCGGCCCCCTAGGCCCCTCGCCCCCCCCCCTAGGCCCCTCGGCCCCTTGTTTGGCCCCGCGGCCCCTAGGCCCCTCGGCCCCACCTCAGAGACTGGCGCCCGGCCCCCCCGCCCCTTGTTTGGCCCCTCGGCCCCCTAGGCCCCTCGGCCCCTTGTTTGGCCCCTCGGCCCCCTAGGCCCCTCGGCCCCCCCTAGGCCCCTCGGCCCCTTGTTTGGCCCCGCGGCCCCTAGGCCCCTCGGCCCCACCTCAGAGACTGGCGCCCGGCCCCCCGCCCCCCCCCCCGGCCCCTTGTTTGGCCCCGCGGCCCCTAGGCCACTCGGCCCCACCGCAAAGACCGGTGCCCGGCCCCCCGGCCCCTTGTTTGGCCCCTCGGCCCCCTTGGCCCCTCGGCCCCCCTAGGCCCCCCCGGCCCCTTGTTTGGCCCCGCGGCCTCTAGGCCACTCGGCCCCACCTTAGAGACCGGCGCCTGGCCCCCCCGGCCCCTTGTTTGGCCCCTCAGCCCCCTAGGCCCCTCGGCCCCCCTGGGCCCCCCCCGGCCCCTTGTTTGGCCCCGCGGCCCCTAGGCCCCTCGGCTCCACCTCCGAGCCCGGCGCCCGGCCCCCTGGCCTCTTGTTTGGCCCCTCGGCCCCCCCCTAGGCCTCTCGGCTCCCCTAGACCAACGGCCTCTTGTTTGGCCACGCGGCCCCCCAGGCTCCTCGGCCCCTATGGCGTCGCTTCGAGTTCTCCCGTTCGACCCGGAGGGTAGACCTATATCATTTGACACGTGGCACGACGATCTGCAACTGTACCTACTGAGCGACAGTCGGGACAGTGTCTCACTGTTTGACCACGTGTCCGGTGCCGCTCCAGACCCTTCCGCCACAGCTGACGTTTCGACTCGTTCCCAGTGGCTGTCTCGTGACGCTACTGCCCGCTTGGCCATTCGCAACCACCTGCCCGCAATAGAATGTGCTCACTTTGGCGAGCACAGGACAGCACAGGCCTTGTACGACGCTGTCGTTGCTCGCTACTCCTCCCCTGCCACTGCTGCTCTTGGCAGACTGCTACTGCCCTACCTGTTCCCTGAGCTGTCGGCTTTTGCCACAGTAGCGGACCTGGTTACCCACCTGCGCACTAGCGACGCTCGCTACCGCGCTACCGTTCCTGCTGAGTTCCTTCCCACGAACCAGCCCCCCATGTTCATCACCCTCTACTTCATAGTCACTCGCCTCCTTGACTCCCTTCGCTCTGTCAGGGACCACTTCCTCACCCTCGGCCCCACTTCCCTCACTGTTGACCTCCTCGAGCAGCATCTCCTCGCAGCTGAGACTAGTGCAGTT